ATCTATTCTGTGAGTTTTCCGGGCCGCTCGTGACCATGAGCACGGCTATTATAACAGTTTGTTACCCTCTGCATAGGTGGTGCACATTCACCGCGAGTCGTGATTCCCATATGCCCGGGTTAATTACTCCCATATCACTACCAAGGTGAGCGGGCAGGGTACACTATGAAGCCATTTCATAGGTTTCTCTAACAAGTTAGGGCCGCTAGATTTCCTCGGCAGGCAGATGTAGGAACCCCCCCTTTCCTATGGCACATATCCATCGCGGCTATACACATAGGAACAGAGGCAGTCCTATACCCAACGTGGCAAGCCCCATTTGCGCCAAAAAGGTAACTTCTAACTAGCTAGAGAAGTTCCCATTACTGAGCTAAAGTCAGAGCCATATGACTCTCCCGGTTGCACTGTTAGTCCCAGCTTTTGCCGACAGATAAGTCCTTATGGAGGGCTGGGAGCAATATGAACAAAGGTCATTTGCACTTTCGCCCTATGGAATAGTTGTTATAAATCATGTTAAACTCTTTGTTCCATAGAATCATTCATCATCATGTATATCAAGTTCAGTTAGAGCACTAGCAATCTACCCATATGTATTTAACCCATAGGAGACAAGGAACAGGATAAACAATCACTAGGATGTCCTTACGGGTATCAAAATTAGGCACATGCAAATGAGTAATTGATTAAAGTGAAATAGGACATCAAGGTAGGCCCATGCTATACTTGCCTTGGTTCACAAACTCCTGCTGGTCCTGCTGGTCGTCGAAGTATTCTTGGTCTCCAACGTTCTCCTCACCGTCTGAGCACGACCAACACGGCAACATACAACATTCCAAATGCATTCATGCAAAGCAAACAATCCTATAATTAGAACAGTACACCAATAGTATAGAAAACAAGACGAAATGTTTATAAAAAGAATCTACGTCTCACTACGATCACGTCAACGCAAAGTTCACGAAAAACGGAGCTAAAACGCTAAAGTTATGAATTAAACGACATTTCCTATAGTACTTTATTCAATTAAACCTAACCATGAAATTTAAAAGTTGCAAACTTGATTAACAGTGACACTAACAAGTAGAGAACTTAATTACGAATCTAACGCAATTTGAACGGATCAAATCGGAGCTAAAACAAAGTTTTTATGAGTAAAACAAAATCAGTGGCAAAACGGTAATTAAGGGAAACGTATTTTGAATCTGATAACGGAGATCTTCGCTTTCAGAAAGAGAAAGCGTACACAGGGAAATACGCTAAGGATGGCGGGTTTTATTACATGAAAACAGAGGGGCTCTTTAGCAAATTTGCCACGGCGAAAGGGTATCGGCCATCCTAGGCCGTTGGATCGAGGACGAATGGCTCCGATTAGAGATGGGAGGGAGAGAGAGAGTGCGCCGGCAGGGAACAGGGGCAGCCACGGTGGCTCTCCATTGCCGGCGGCGAGGAGCTCGCCGGCATGGTCGGTTAAGGCCCTACGGGCCACGGTGTGCCCAACCGACGGCACCGGGGAAGAGAGGGGGGTGCGGCGAACTCGCCTGGGTCGAGAGAGTGGCCGGAGGGTGCGGCTGAGGCGGAGGTTGCCATGACCGGCGGCAAAAACTTCTCGGGTGCACGCGAAACGAGCCCTAGAAGCGACGGTTCATCAAATTGAAGGCACCGAGAGAGATAGGGGAACAAGGCGAAGCTCACCATGGGAGAAATGGAGACGGAGGCGGCTCGGAGACGACTGTTCGCGTGGAGGTTCCGAGCTCGGCGATGGCGGATCCCCGCGGTGCGGCGGTTTCCTCAGGCACGGGCGACGCGAGAGGGAGCGGGGAGAGGCAGCAGGGGTGCGTGGGGGGTCACGGCTTCCATTTGTAGCGGCGGGCAGCAGGCAAGGCGCTCCACGATCTGTGGCGCGCGAAACGTCTGTGATTTCTTGCTTGGCAGCGTAAGCGTGAGGCGCTGGGACTACTGGAGGTGGGGGGCACACGACGGTGGGGCAGGTTGTCGGTGAGAGGGAAGGGAGGCGGTGGTTGTTGCTGAGCATGAGTTGGCAAGGGGAGACTCTTTGAAATTGGCGAGGTGGTTGTTGTTGGGCAGCCTTGAAGGGTGAAATTTGTGTGAGAGCGATGCTACCGCCTCGCCTGAAAGTGGGCTGGCCCAGGAAGGAAGCGGAAAGAGGGGGAAAGGAGGAGGCTTGCGGGCCTGAGGGAGAAAGGGCTTGCGGGCCAGATTGAAAGAGGGGAGGGAATGAGAAATGAAGAAGCCTTTTCTTTTTCCAAATGAATTTTCCAATTCCATTTTCAAATAATTTTTTTTGGATCCTTTTGAGTTTAAATCGAACCACTCAACATATTAAATACAATGCTCCAGCATGAGTGCATCAACTTGTATCTATACTTATGATTTATTTTAATTTCACAAAAATTATTAATTTCCTATATTTGAATGCACACAATATAACATAAATAAATCAAATTTACTATTTTAAAAGATTGCAAATTTTAGGGTGTTACATGTGACCTATTCCACTCCACATACAAAGGATCACAAAGTTTGACCCTCTCTTGTGCTATTAATGTCTTCCTTTTCGGTTTTTGATTCTAAAGGGGAAGAATTTATAGGACTAAAAGCAATCCCGATCATAATAATTTATAAGTGGTAATGGTCCGAGAAAGGGAGAATAGTGGATTATGAAGTTAGGGAGAGGCTTAAATCCATAATGCCACATGGGGACATTATAATAATTTACAAGTGGTAATGGTCCGAGAAAGGGAGGATAGTGGATTATGGAGTTAGAAGGAGGTTTAAATCCATAATGCCACATGGGGACATTTGCAAGGGCAAGATAAGTTTCCAAAGATGTTTACATGTGGTATCTTTTAGAATCATATAACCTTGCCCTTTGCATTGCATCCTAGCAAGTAAATAGTTTTTAAATTCCAAAATTTTTATTATTTGCTTGTTTTGGTCGTGTTGTCATCAATCACCAAAAAGAGGGAGATTGTAAGGAAAATAGACCCTAGGCCCATTTACTTTGGATTTTGGTGTTTGATGACCAACACAACCAAATTGGACTAATAAATTTGTAAGTGTTTGTTTTGTAGTTCAATTGGATGCAAAACGTGACTTGGACGAAGGTGACGTGATGATTCGATGATCAACATCTCAAGAAAGACATGTGAATATGTATAGAAGACATACAAGATCAAGTAAAGTTCAAGCACGAAGATTGGAACCAAATCGGATGCAAGATTGCGAAGAAACGAGCTTGGTAGAGGTGACCGGATACGGCCCTATAAGTGACCAGACGCTCCGATCAAGTGCCAGGCAATAACAGGCGTTGGCAGCTGTGACCGGACGCTGAGCGAAGCAGTGACCGGACGCATCGGTGACACTGTTCATCATCACGGCAGTGATTTCAGCGTGACTGGACGCAGTACACTGGACGACCGGACGCAGGAAGTGCATCATTTGATCGTTTCCAGAGAGGTTCCAGAGCTGCGCCAGCACGACCCGACGTGTCCGGTCGATGATGACCGGACTCTGGCTGAGTCCGATCAATGCGCGCGCTCCAACGGTCGGGACGACTGGACGCGTCCGGTCAGGACATGATCAGCGTTCGATCAGTAGCAGAAAGTTGTGTTTCGTCCCCAACGGCTACTTTCTTAGTGGGGCTTATAAATAGACCCCCCAACCGGCCATTTGACTATAGTGGAGTTGAGGAAACATATCAAGGGTGTTGATACACTATTTTAGTGATCTCCACTTGCATAGTGCTTAGTGATTCATTAGGTGATTAGCGTAGGTGCTTTACGAAGTGTTTAGATTGATTAGACCACCGCTTATGCGCTTGCTCTAGGTTTAGGCCTAGTGTTTAGTGAGGTTTGCATATCTCTTACCGCTCGGTGCTTGCATGTACCATTGTTGTACATCGGAGGGGCTTGTAGTCTTGCGAGATCACACCAACCACATTTGTGGTGTGGCCGCCACTGTGTACCGAAGGGAACAAGGCCCGCGGCGGTTTGGTCGGAAGCTTGGTAGTGAAGACGGCGGGAGTGGTCCGGGAGAGGCTTGCCAGAAGGTACATCGGAGACCCATTTGGGCGTGAGAAAGGCCCGGGGCTATCCACGGAGTTACCCGACCGGGAGCTTGGCCCGTGCGAGGGATTTCTTGCGAGGGGCTTCAACGAGGACTAGGGGGAAACTTGCGCGCCTCTCAATACCTCGGTAAAAATATCGGAGTCGTCGACGGGAGTTTGCATATCTCTACCTTACTCTTTAGCTTCAGCATTTATATTGTTTGTATAACTCTTTTTACGGTAGAGATAGCAACACACTAGCAAAACCGTAGTTACACACTTAGATAGTTTATCTTTTGTATATGTTTTGCTAAGATTAAAAAAAGAAGTCATAGTTTAGAGTTAAAGTTTTAAGTTGCCTAATTTACCCCCCTCTTAGGCGTCACGGTCCCCTTTCATTGTTAAACATCAGGTACCACCTAACTATTAGCTACCTATTAGCTCGAGGGTGTTTGGATGCACAAAAAATGTTACGAAGATAACTATTAGCTGTTATTCTTATTTCGTTTAATTACTGAGATAATTATTATCGAGATGTTTCGGCTAACAATTAGCTAGTTTATTATCGGTCCCTATTTATTTGTCGCTATGGTTTATGTGCCGGTCAAACTTTAAGTTGAACTAGATTTATAGATAATATTAGCAATATTTATATATCTAAATAAATTTATTGTGAAACTAGATTCAATGATCTATCTAATAATATATGTAATTATGTACTATAAATATTAATATATATATATATATATATATATATATATTTGGTTAAAGTTGGTTATATCTAACTCCTTAGGAATCGAGAACGGACAATTAATAAGGGACGGAGGGACTAACTATTAGCATATATAGCTAGCTATTATCTAGGGATCAAACAGGGCCTAAGGTGCCGCAAAGCGTACATACGCATTTCATGGAATTCTTGACGAATTTGACGTCATCGAGGCTGAGGGTCGTATGCACGAAGCGTTTGCGGCGGCGGAGGTCGCTTTCTCACGAACAGGATCAGAGCCACGAACGCCACGACGTCCTCCACGGTATGCCAAGCGAGCACAACGTAGGACCACAGCCACAGCGCGAACGGCAGGGCACCCGCGGAAGCTGGCGGCCTCGGCCTCGCGAAGACAGGGCCCGAGCGAGCCGGCGGCGGCGGCATGGCGGGCAGCCTGGTCGGGTCGGCGGCTCTTCGGGTGCACGCCATGAGGAGCGTGAGCAGCGACATGCCGTCGGCGAGCGAATGTTGCACGCGGACAGCCACGGTCGCGGCCGCCACCGAGGTTGGGAAGTCGAGGAAGTGGAACTCCCAGAGCGGGCGGGACCGGTCCATGGGCAGCCTGGACAGCGACGCTACGTAGTCCTCCACGGCCTGGTCGGGATCGGCCGCCACGGCGTCGGGGTCCAGCCCTGGAATGACGATGTGGTCGTCGAGGTTCACCGTCGCCCGCACCCACCGCGGGTTCCCGTCCTTGAACTCGTCCGTAACCTGCACATCAAGTGATGACCATCGTAACGACGTACTAGCGGTGGCCGAGCCAGGATTTCATAGCTGGGTATTCCGCGTATATTAAAAAATTTCAATACAAATGTGTAATAGTAATAGCAAAGTACAACCTCTAAATATAGTGGTATAGTGCTATTATCTCTAATAATTAAAAAAGATTACAATGCAGAATCCAATGCAAAAAAATTAGAAAACGAAATCCTAAATTTTAACTCTGAAGAATGGATTTGACACTGTTGTGCTACTGTGCTCACCTTGCTTCGACTTCAACGGTTCCGGAGCCGAAGGCCGAAGCCGAACCGAACCTTGGCCGTCGCGGGATGCCGGAGCGCCGAGCTCGCCGCCGCCCTCCGGTCGCCGCCTGCCCGCCTCTCCGGAGCCGGGGCGCTAGTCGCTAGGGCTGGGCGCCTGCTGCCGGGGCACAGTCACGCAGGTCGCGCTCGTTGCTCGACTAGACCGCTCGCGCAGCGCCGCAGCCGCAGGGCAGGGCAAGGGGAACTGGGGAAGGGGCGACGGGCCGACGGCAGAGGGGGAGGAGCCGAGGTGCCGCCGTGCCCCTGCTCTCTGCGCGCCTCCACGAGACCACAACTCCACGAGATTGGTTCACTGCGAATTGGGAGCGGCCGCCTGCAGCCAGGAATCGCTGCGAATTGGGAGCGGCCGCCTACAGCCAGGAATCGACGTGAGCTTGTTTTTACTTTGGTGGGCTGATAGTTGCTGCTTTCTGTTGGGCTTTGGGCCAGATTTACAACATCTGGCAACTATACAAGGTATACCTAATGTATTTATGTTTGTTTCCAAAATCTTGGGTATTCCTCAGCATACATGGGAATACCCCTGGCGCCGCCCATGCATACTAGTAGCCACGTAGTGCATGGAAGAACACTCACGCACTTGGATGCTGCAGAAGCGTGGGTGGCGGGCGAGCTGGGCCTGGATGCCAGCGTGGATGTCCGGGAGGTTGATGGACGCGCCGAGACCGATCGTGACGACTATGTACATACTCCCTCCGGTTCTATAAAGCAAGTCGTTTTGGACATCGACACGGTCTTTAAGAAACGACTTTGACTGCAACTTTTTGCTATAAAATATTTATAAAATATAATCAATATATATTTTTATGAAACTACATTTCGAGATGAATCTACTTACATCACTTTCATATTTTCAAACTCAACCCAAAAGAAGTTATTTGTAGTCAAAGTTTAAAATGTTTGACTTAAGACAATCTTAAAACAACTTGTTTTAGAGAACCTGAGGGAGTACTGTCCAAGAGCCTTGCGGTCGGGCTCACCGGTTCCTCGTCCCTAGTGGACGACTCGGTGTTTAGAGCTCGGATCGGGAGAGATCCGCTTCTTGGAGCGTTCAATGCTTTTTGTTGTGTGGAATGGATTTAGCGGCTGAGTGCTTGTCTTCTTTGCGTGAACATGGACCGGTAGCCACAGCATATATAGGCCTTCCGTTGAACAGGCAATACCATATATGTCTTCCCTCCTACCTTGTCTTCCCCTTGACCGCCGAGGCCCTCCACACCTCGGCTCTGCCCTCTGTTAAGAATTTCTTAATTAAAGAATTGATGGGCTCATACCATATATGTCTCGTAGGGTACCCTTCATACACGCCACTCATTTCTGAATGGGCGAGGAATGGATGTGATCTATGTATGATTGTTGTCCTAGTATAATGTATGAGTATAGACCTAGTAATGAATTAAATTTTTTTGAGGCAACGGCAGGGCCGGGAGGCCCCTACCTAAAATCTTTTTATATATATGGATATATACAAGTTAAAAAGCTTGAAAGGCTCAAAGAAAGAAAAAATTAGAAACATTAGGAGTAACTCTCTCGCCACAAATCGAGAGCTAACTTCACATTTCGCATGGCCTTGAGCCCTTGATGCACACCAGACTAAGCTCATCCTTGAATCTGCACTTCCATCTGCTGATGTTGAAAGTTTCATTGTCAAAAATTACTCCATTCCTAGTATTCCAGATCATCCAGAAGGCAGTGATCATTAGTTCTCTGAAGATGGGACAGCCAAAAAAGAGTTCTTGCTTCAATTACCATGTCAAGAGGCTGCAAATTAGTGTCCGTTCCAGCAGGGTTTTTTTTCGCGAGCGGGATTGGACCCATATTTCATTAAGAGGAAAGGAGTTTTGTTACAAGTGGTTGTTAGGCCTGCTCCCCCCTGTAGTACATCTATGCTAACTGCATTTTAATTATATTAATTAGGTGGCAGTTCAAATGTCCGTGTCCAAGGACACTGGCTCCATTATTCACGACAGCATCTTTGTGACATATTGCCTTTGTTTTACAACACGACCGATTCAGCTGGTGCCGGCCACGCCGGCAGCAAGGGGCAGACCGGTGAGCTGGAGCTGCACCATGTCCACGCGTCCCTGGGGCTAGCCGCGACTCGAACAGAGGGAGCCCAGAGTGGACCGGCCGCATCGCATGTGCCTGGCAGTGTGCGGCGCGGCAGGCAATGACGCACCGGCGGCGTGATCGGCAGGGAGAGGCGTGCACCAATGAGCCTCGGAGAAGGCAATACAGACATGTGGAGCAAGCACGGACGCGATGCTCAACTTGCTTTGGGTCTCACTGGCCATCGGAAGGAGAGTACTATGACCGTGCTCAACAGCGGATTAAGTTTGACGAGAATCAGTCGAAGCTTGGGCTAGCGACCACCTGTGGCTACTAGCGAGAGGAACCAACAGGGAGGCAGCGATGGAAGCTCGAATTTGGCCGGTGGCAAGGCAATGGTAGGGAGGCCATGGAACAGAACATAGTGGTAGGTGAGGTGGCAGCGCGTGTGAAAATGGCCAGGCGGAGGCGTGGAGTCGAGTATGGCGGGTGGGAAACCGATAAAACGAAAAAGTAGAGGCCCCTCTTGACCCGTGTAGGCTATGTTCGGTTGCAGGGGGTCTAATCCCCAAGCTGATTTAACCCCTGCCGGGAATGAGTGAATCCATGTGCTATCACTTGATCCCTGTAGGGGTTTAATCCATTCGCTTGAACCCTTCGCTTGGCCTTCGCGTGCGCTGCTCTGCCTGCCCCTTTGCGTGCATTCGCGCTCAGCGACGGGATTGCTTCCACCCCAGTACAGGCCGGGCATCATTCCCGGGCCGGGGTAGGCCGGGCTTAGACGAATGCACATTTTCGCGTGGGCCGAGGTCCTTTCCAGGTCGGGTGATCCACAGGGGTTGGGCCTTGACCCCGGCCGGGGTGGCCTAACCGAACAAAGCTGAAATGGGTTGTAGAGGGGAGAATTTAGGTAGTCGACAAATCTGGAGGACCAAGTAGGTACTCTACTAAAGACGGTTTTTTGCTCCACTACTAGATAGCCTGCTACAGATGCTCTTAACCACGAAGCAGGGACTTGGCGAACTACTAATAGTGATTTTACGTATCACTGACTGTTTGTGCCTCGAGCCGGTAAATATCTCCTAGGGTCATTATCACAACTTGTTTGTGGCACCCACTAGCAAAACCGTTTGATGGCTACAAGCATACTTTGGTGGAACATAATGTAAGTACTAGTTGGCGGACCCCAACCATTAGTGAAAGTGTGGACACAAAGTTTAGTGTACTTGAGCGCCGGATGATCCGATTTGTCAAATCCTGATAACACAGTGGTGACACCTGTCGTGGTTTGTAACCGCCGCAGTAATTGAGTTGTTCGACGTGGGTTGATATGTGTGCCTCCAGTGGCTCGAGCACTCAAAATATAAGAGGTTTATCCTTGTTTGGGTCTCAAAGCCCTACGTCCAGCAATACTGTTCTTCGTATTAGGAATGTTCAATCGAGAATTCTTATAATGTAGGAACAGAGTGAGATGTAGGGGTAGCGCTATGCTAATCTAGGGTTCGTTTGGATCTGATCTCCCTTCTTTGGGGTCGAGTCCTTTTGGCTGAGTTCTGGTTGGTCAATCCATATGGCTAAGTTCCAATCTATCCCCTTCTACAGGAGCCCATGCCTCTCCTTACATACCGAGGAGGTGACGGGTGTACAAGTCGAATCGTTTCTCCTAGGATTTTCACCCTATGCTCTGGTCTTCTTCCTCGGAGCATTGTCGGTCCTCCTTTGTCTTGTACTGGGATCCGACAAAGTTGAAACCACATTTTGACTCCGCTGCTGCAGTTTGGCGTTGACCGCCAAGTACTATCGGCTCTGGCCGCGCCTTCTCGTGGCTTCCTTGGCACGTTAGGCTTCTTCCCTGCCTGGAGGGGCTGCCATGCAAGCCCGGAGCCCTCCACTACACCGGCTTGGAGGGGCTCCTTGTCCTGATGTGTCACACGCCGGTCGTGACACTGCCGAGTGAGTGGCCGACAATACCTCATGGTCGTGGAGTGGAACAGAGGCCTGGCCTATCAGGCTTCGGGCGCTTGACAGATTCCGAGGCTTGATTCCAGCGTTGCCCAAGCTAGGTGCTCGACCCGAGCCAAGATTGGGGCAGCCTTAGGGGATCTTGCTCGGACGAGGCTCTTGTGTCGGGAACACTCCGTGCCTTGGCCCGGTCCCCGAGCCCCCGAGTGATGGCGGACCGAACATGGGACTTAGCCTCTCTTGGCTCGCCCCTTGACACTGAGGACTTCCTCAAGAGTGGGTAGTCCGAGGCCTACCGAGTCGTCTCCTGTTTGCCTGAGGGTGCGCACGAGCGCACCTAATGGCTGTAGCCCCCGAACCCCCGACTGATGAAGAGAATCTGATGGGGGGTTAGCCAGACTGTTATCCCCTAAATCCAAGGATTTAATATACCCCTATGTTAGACTCTCGTCAAAACGCCTGCCATCCTGTCATCATGGTCTGAGACCATAGTCGCTACCCAACACGTCATAATTGATCACTATGTCCAAGGAGAAAGTGTCATACCGAAGTGGAGGTCACAATTGAACCAAGGGCAAGATAAAACAAACCGAGTCAAGGCAACTCTGAGTAATAGAGCATGAAATTTCATGACCAAAAACAACTGGTAACTTAACAGAATATTAGGTGTTCAACAGGGTAATTGGGGCCAAGAAGAGGGTATCTCAAGATCAACATTGTATTATGCAAAGCTTTTTTCTTGCAAGGATAGTTTTCGGTTCATGACATAGTGCATACAATTGATGGAACCTAGCATACAGGAAAACTATTTGCTCCCAAAAGCAAGTAATCAAGCTATATCATTCTCATTAGGTGATTCAAGTACTCATCTACAAAAATATAAATTACTAGAATGACGAACATTTTTAGACTCTCAGTTACAATATTTTCTCCAATACAAATGTACTCACTTGTAGCATCAGCCAATACTTCATGTGTTAGCATACAAAATGCTATAGCGACTTACTGGAAGCAACTTAATCCAATTGTATTGGATGTGTTTCTATTCTACACAAAGTAGTCATTATGGGCCTCTATATCATTCATTGTGTGAAGTAAAAGACCATCACTAATCCTATATACAGTGAATCTAGCACCGGAGTGGGGTGGGTTCATGCCCCCGGTACTGCTACTTAAGGCATGGAGTCCCCCCTAAGCCCCCTACAATTTGGTATCCATGGAAGCTTGAAAGGAGGGGCAATAGATGATAAATGATGTGAGGAGCGCCTACAAACTTATTTTTCTAGGTCCCTCATTGCCTATAAAAGACAAAAAACTTAAGACATCCATATTATAATGTAGACATCCATCCATATTATAATGTATAGACATACTATTAACCTAAGATTTATGAATGTTTATATCTGATCAAGAACCATCTAGTTTCTTTTGGAACAAAGATTTATGAATGTTTATATCCACGACTGACGAAGATCGATGTTAGAGCATCTTCAAGAACCTTTCTAAAATCTAGTCTCTAAATCATCATTTAGGAAGTTATTTGAGTAAAAATTATTTTTTATATCTTTGTACTTTCCACAGCTTTTCTATATCTTGTGCATGATCTAGAGAGCCATTCTTGCTCTTCATCTTTGGCTAGCGAAAAATCCGGAATAGAGGATATCTATATTTAGATATTTTTGTAAAATAGAAAAGATATAAAGAGTCTCTTAAAAGATGCTCTTTACACGTTTTGGCCAAAACCTCCGCTTTCCTGGCCGCATCTGGTCACTCCTTCGGCCGCTGCTGGTCTAGTTGGGGAGGGGAAGGGGGCAAAGGTGGGCTCTGGCTGTTTGTGGCGGAGGCGGGCTCTGGCCATTGACAGCCACGGTCCCACAGCTAAATGGTGCAGGGGTCTGCTAGAGCGGGCTAGTCGTGGTCACGGAGCAGAGACTGGATTTCGTGGCTCTCCACTCATTTTGCAAAGTACCCTCTCTATCCCAAAATAAACGTAGTCTTGCTTGAGGGGTTAAAATTTTTCAAGTTAAACCAACAATACTGTCGGTGTTTTGAACCACCAGCTAGTAAATTTGTATCTGCACGTCTGGTCCTGATGTGTGTGCTCGGAGGACACAAGGAACACGACGTGAGGTAACCTCCTCGCCGGAGACCTCACCGTCGGCGAGCTATCGCCAGTCAACTTCCGTCCTCTGTTTCAGTTTCGCTGACAAGCGGGTCCCGTTGACCGTAGGCCCCATCTGTCAGTCTGAGTGATTCTTTGATTTTCTTATTTGTTTTCACAGATTTGAATACATGTTTTAAAAA